CAGTATAGAGTTTCCTCAAAAGATTAAAAGCTGAAATACAATATGATCCAGCAACTCCACTTCTAGGAATTTACCTGAAGAAAATGAAAACATCAATTTGAAAAAATACATGCACCCTTATGTTTATTACAGCATTATTTACAATAGTCAAGATATAGGAGCAACCCAGTGTCCATCGATAGATGACTGGATAAAGACGATGAGGTATATATATGTACAATGGACTATTACCCAGCCATAAAAAAGAATGAGATCTTGCCATTTGCAGCTACATGGATGGAACTAGAGGGCATTATGCTAAGTGAAATAAGTCAGACAAAGGAACACAATACCATATGATTTCACTTATATGTGTAATCTAAAAAAACAAAACAAATGAACAAACAAAACAAAATAGAAACAGATGCATAAATATAGAGAAAAAAAATGTAGTTGCCAGGGAGTGGGGGATGGGATGGCAAAATAGGTGAAAGGGATTGAAAGCTACAGACTTCCAGTTATAAAATAAGTAAGTCATGGGATGGAAAGTTCAGCAAAGAGTATATAGTTAACAATATTGTAATAGCTTTGTAAGGTGACAGCACCCATGGTGAGGCATGCGTTTCATAATGCATAAAAATGTCAAATCACTATGCTGTACACCTGAAACTGATATAATATTGCATGTCAACTGTACTTTAATTTTTTTAATGTAATTATAAATTGATAATGCCTCAAAAACAAATAAACAAACAAGCAAACAAAAGATAGGGTATCCAGTAGCCATAACAAAAATACAGATATATTCAATTACATTTTAAAATATCAAGGCAAAAATCATCAAGTCAAAAGAAAAATAATAGGCTAGAGAAAAAATAGCTGTAACTTGACAAAGTATATATCCCCAATAGACAAGGTGAAAAACAAAAGACAAGCAACTTAAAAACGGGCAAGAAGAAGGCTCATAGCAGCTTTCTTCATAATCTCCCCAAACTGGAAGCAGCAAACATGTCCTTCAATAGGACATTCAATGGAGAAACAACTTGCAGTATATCCACAGAAGAGGATAGTGATCTTTTTTTAAGCATCAAGTCACAAAAAGACACAGATAAAACTTAAACACATATATCTCAATGAATGCTTACATACTACACGATTCCTGGGATAGGAAATCTGGCAAAGCCAAACTAGACAGACAGTAGGAAGAGTAATTGCTGGGGGGTTGGTAGGAGAGGGGTGAAGGTGGGATAAACGAAGCAAGGGACTTTCTAGAGTGGTGACATATTCCGTATGATATCGTGACTATAGGTACAGGACACGATATATTTGTTAAAACCCGTAGGACTTTAAAGCACAAAGAGTGAACCAATATATACAAATTTAAAAAAATATAATTTAGGAGGTCAAGGGATACCAGGATAGAGCGTAGACTGTGACAAAATAATCTGTATTACAAATGTATTAAAACATCTTACTGAAGTAGGTGGGCGGAGAAGGTGGTGACCTAAGTAGCTTTGGAAATGGGTGGAATTATAAGACTAAAGGTAAAAACCTGTACATAAAGCTGTATTCTTGTTGATGAAGTTATTTCCCATCAGGGGACGGGGGTTAACAATTCTGATACAGTTACACCTGTATGCTGGAAAGAAACAGTTAAGTAAATATTGAGGTGTGGCGGGAGCCAGGCTTCTCACTCTTGGAGTGGCCATTATCAACCAAGCAAGGAGAGGAGGTTAGAATGATCCATGTGACCATGGACTAGAGTTGCAGACATAGGAATGAACTCGCGTTCATATGGAAATATTTATAGATATGTATATAAACATTAGTTTCTATGGCGCACATTTATTTCCTTGCTTTGTCAGCTGAAAGGGGCGTAGAAGCATCAACACCCAATGAGCAATGGGGATATCTTATGCTCAGGCCTTGGCTTGTAATATCACTTTCTAATAAAGAAACCAAGACCCCTTGGAGAAATAGCTGATTGTAGGATAAGGGAAGGAATATATAAGAGGTACCTGGAGGATCTTATAGTGCCAGAACGCAAGGAAGTACTCATAAAAACAAAGAAACCAAAATCACATTGATAGGGGTATGTCAAAGGGACATGGAAGCCAACTGAAAGAGATCCCAATGGTCAAAGCTGGAACAATCAGAGCAACAAAATATCTGAAGTAGTAGTGCATTAATCCCAAAATATAAAGTAACTATCCATGCATCTATATGGATATAAGTGAATGATTAAATAATTAAATAAGGGAGAGGAAACAAATCTCTCCCGCAGAAGAATTCCACATAATTTTCGAAAACTCCACCTTCAAAGAGGCAGAGCATAACCCCCTACTCCTTAGGTGTGAGGTGTACACAGTGACTTCCTTCCAAAGAGTACAGCATGGAAAAGGTGGAGCAGAAGGGGTAGCTATAGTGGAGAAATCTGACAAACATAACCTCAGCCAGGTGATCAAAGTCAACACCAACAGTGGTGAGTCACGTTGATGGCATGAGCTCTAACACCCATCTCGTCATAAGAAAAAGATCAGACAAATCCCAGTATACGGACATTTAAAAAAATGCCTGACTGGTATTCCTCAAAATTGTCAAGGTCATCAAAAACAAGGAAAGTCTGAGAGGCTGTCAAAGTTGAGGGAAGCCCGAGAAGATAAAACAACCAACTGTAAAGTGGTATTCTGGAACAGAAAAAAATATACTGGGTAAAAACTAAGGAAATCTGGATAAAGTGTGCACTTTTTAACAAAAAAAGTATCGATATTAGTTCATTCATTTTAACAAATGTAACATAGTAGTGTAAGAGGTTATTAGTATAGGGAAAACTGGATTAGGAGTATAGGGGAGCTTCACAATGTTTCTCTAAATCTAAAACTCATCTTAAATACAAAGTACATTTTAAAATAATAATATAGGGGCAACTGGGTGGCTTAGTCGGTTAAGCGTCTGACTTTCGCTTAGGTCATGATCTCGAGGTTCGTGGGTTTGAGCCCCACGTTGGGCTCTGTGCTGACTGCCAGCTCAGAGCCTGGAGCCTGTTTCAGAGTCTGTATCTCCCTCTCTCTGACCCTCCCCTGCTCACGCAGTCTCTCTCTCTCCTAGAAATAAAATAATAATAATAATAATAATATAAAATTTAAATGATAGGCAAGAATATAAGCAGGCAATATGTAGAAGAGAAAATGCAAGTAATCAATAAACATGGGGGAAAAAAAACCATGACCCCTGTGGTTTTCATGGAAATATGAATCAAAATAACAATGGCCCTTTCTCTTTCACACATCAAATTAGGGTAAACTATAGAGAGTGATACTATTTAACTCTGACTGAGAGGCAGTTTTGCAGTAAAGTGGACACAGTTCTTTTTTTTTTTTTTAAATGTTTTATGTATTTTTGAGAGAGACAGCGTGAGCAGGGGAGGGTCAGAGAGAGAGGGAGACACAGAATCTGAAGCAGGCTCCAGGCTCTGAGCTAGCTATCAGCACAGAGTCCGACGTGGGGCTTGAACCCAAGAACCATGAGATCATGACCTGAGCTGAAGTCGGACGCCTAACTGACTGAGCCACCCAGTCACCCTGGACACACTCAGTTCTTGATGGTAAAAGTGTAAAATACTAAAACTTTTGGAAAACAACCTGACATTGTCCACTAAAAATGTACTTGTATGTTTGGAGGCCACATTCTACTTTGGGGAATCTTCCAGAAATAAGAGCGGCGATGCAAACAAACAAAAAGGCACATTTTGAAGCTCAGTTTGGAAATCAGAACACCATCTGAATATCTCTCAATAAGAGAATCGCTGAATCAATGATAGCTGACCCATCCTATGGAATATTTGTTTGGCCAGTTAAAAGAAATGATGGATGAGGTCTGTATGGATTGCTCTGGAGGAAGAGGAAAAAGTTGCAGATTAATGTTTATGGTCCTGGTTCTGTACCCCACGACACAACGTGCAAATCTGTAGGTGTGATGTTAGGCATGGATGATACAATGTTGTTTACCCACAGGAATTATCAGGAAAGGGTGGGTGGAGCCATCATCTTTTTCCTCATACAACTTTATATTGTTTGTAACACAGAACAAGTGTGTGTCACTTTTTAAGAAATTTAATAAGGTTTAAAGAGGAAGTTAAAGGTCACATAGTAGGCAGAGGGATTTCCCCACCCACCCAAGATACCCAGTCTTAATCCCTGGAAACTGTGGATATGTTGCTTCACGTGGCAAAAAGTTTTAAGTCATGTTTTCAAGTGTGAGTAAAGAGTTTGAAATGGGGAGATCATCTTAGGTTATCCAGGTGAGCCCAATGTAATCACAAGGGTCCATTGAAAAAGGAAGCAGGAGGGTCCCATCCAGAGTAGGACAGAGCAAAGGTTGTAGTGATGCAAGCCAAGGGGCCACCAGCCAAGGAATGCAGATGGCCTGTGAAAGCTGGAAAAGGCAAGGAAATGAATTCTCCCCCAAAGTCTGCAGAGAGAACACATTGCCTGAGGACATCTTAATTTTAGGACTTCTAACCTCCAGAATTGTAAGCAGATCAATTTGTGCCTTAAAAAATTTTTTTTAATGTTTTATTTATTTTTGAGAGACAGAGCATGAGTGAGGGAGGGAAGAGCGGAGGGAGAAGGAAACACAGAGTCTGAAGCAGGCTCCAGGTTCTGAGCTGTCAGCTGTCAGCACAGAGCTCGATGTGGGGCTCGAACCTGCAAACCATGAGATCATGACCTGAGCCAAAGTCAGATGCTTAACTGACTGAGCCATCCAGGTGCCTCAAACCTGTGTTGTTTTATTTATTTATTTTTTTTTTTTTAAAGTTAGAAACATTTTTTTTTTTAATGTTTTATTTATTTCTAGGAGACAGAGAGAGAGACAGCGTGAGCAGGGGAGGGTCAGAGAGAGAGGGAGTCACAGACTGAAACAGGCTCCAGGCTCTGAGCTGGCAGTCAGCACAGAGCCCGACGAGGGGCTCGAACCCACGAATTGCGAGATCACGACCCAAGCGAAAGTCGGACGCTCAACCGACTAAGCCACCCAGGCGCCCCAAACCTGTGTTGTTTTAAACCACTGCGATTGTGGTACTTTGTTACGGCAGTGATAGGAAATAGGGTCACATTTAAGATATGATCCATCATTGTTACTTTAGTATTCAGAGTTCCTAAAGGAAGATTTTTATGGGGTAAAAAAGAAGTAGCCAAAGTATCTTAGATTTCAGCTGGGGAGGAGCCAGTCCCATAGGTGAGAAGTATGAAGAAAGCCTTCAACAATCATAACAGCTGTTGAGGGATGCCAGTGGCCCTCAGCCCTGGCCATGCAGGAGATCTGAGTCAGCCACGGATGCTTAGAACGCCCCTCCCCAGGGGGTTCTCACGCAGGCTCACAAGGGGACGTGTCACCGCAGGACTGCTGGGGCTGGAGGCCAGCTGAAGGCAACACAGGTGTCCATCCTGGGAGACGGAATGTAAGGTGTAAGGGATGCTGTGAAGAAATGAGAAGCCATGAACAGACACTCATACATTCCATCAAGACAGAACCTTAAAACATAGAACTGAGAGCAGCAAGGTAAGAAACAATGAAATTTACGAATGTACATTAAAAACACAAAGACTCAGAACATTACCCACTTACAGACATATACTCATACTTAATGACATATATAAAGCCCATGGGGTACCCTTAGAGGGGATGAGAGTAGGGATCAGGGACCAAGAGGTCAAAGAAAACAAAAAACAGCACTCTGTGAATAACTCCGTGCTGGCAAAATGGTACACGTGGTAGGGTCTGACCAAGTCAGTTCTGCACCTGGACTCCAACATGGACGAAGAACAGATGCAGGTTAATGAGATCCAGCTCAGGCCTGAGCCTTGAAATGGGGAGATCATCTTGGGGTATCCAGGTGAGCCCAATGTAATCACAAGGGTCCCTCGAAAAAGGAGGCCATTTTTAAAAGCTCCAGAGATGATTCTGATGTGCCTCCAGGCCTAAATACCTGAGGCTCAGGCTGAACGCAAGCAATTCTGTGAACAACCATCTTGACAGGAAGAGGCTCAGGAGAGAAGGGGAGGTAGTAGGGGAGACATGGACCCCTAAAATGGCAGCTATTGTGTTTGGATGGTGGCATTATGGGAAATCCCCTTCCTGTATCTTTGACACTATTTTGAATGGCGTTTCATTGCTTTTATGTATATTCAATGCCATTGACTTTTTTGTTTTTAAGTAGTTCAGAATGTCTAGGCAGAGTTAAAGGCCATGAGGAAACTCAACAGCCACTTGAGATTTTAAAGCTCAGAATGAATAGTAGCAGTCGCCAAATTCAGCAAAAAATCAATGTTCAAGTGCAGTTGAAACAAGAGTTAACTCTTGAAGGTCAGAAAAAGTCTTAACAGGTATACTTAATACATTTGTCCTGGGGCACCTGGGTGGCTCAGTCGGTTGAGCATCTGACTTCAGCTCAGGTCATGATCTCATAGTTTGTGGGTTCGAGCCCTGCATCCGGCTCTGTGCTGACAGCTCAGAGCTTGAAGCCTGCTTCCTATTCTGTCTCCCTCTGTCTCTGCACCTCCACTGCTCACACTCTGTCTCTCTCTCTCAAAAATAAACATTAAAAAACAAAAACAAAAACACCCCACATTTGTCCTTACATGTTGTGTTATGCCTGAATCGTGAGTCCCCAGAGACCTCCAAGGAGCCAACACCGATGCAAGTACATAAGAGTCTTTATTACAAGCTCGAGCAGGGGCTCACCCGTCAACCGGCACAGCGGCACAAGCGGCACAGCAGAATGAAGCCCCGAGCAATAGCAAGCAGGGTTTTTATGGGGTAAGGGACGGTGTTACAGTGCACACGTCGTACACATAGTATCATCACATAGGTACCAATCATAATTGTACAGCACCCATGGCAACAGTTTTGACCATTCAGTATCTGTGAGGTGTTCGTTACTTTTGGCGGGACCCAATCATGACCTTTGAGAATCCTTTGAAAATTACCAATTATGAGGTGAGTTTAAAGGGCCCACGTGGGGTTCAGGCAAGCGGTGGGTGATTGGCTACTTTGTACAAAGTGGTTATCTATAGTCCCCAGACCCTGACTCAGACCACAGGAATGTTACTCCTATCTTTCTTAGCTTCTTTTGATTGGTTGATCTGAGGGTGGTCTGTGGGTGGCTTCAGCTAAAGTTTTTCCTGGAACTGGGCCTATGTACAGCCCAAGGTTGCTCTTAATGGGGCACTTAATCTCAAAATGGCGTTACTTAGGCCCTTCAGTTGCATTTCACAGTTGAAATCGAGGAAGTACATTTAACTAATATTTGCTGTCTAAGTACATGATATACTTATAAAAGGGAAAGTGAGTGTACCAAATGGGGAGGACAGGTTAGTCTGGGTCCTCCAAGGAGAGGATGTGAGGTGATGAAAGGTGGGAGAAACTTATTAGGGGGTGCATCAGAGAGAGAAAACTAGGAGGGAGCCAGAAGAGGCTGGGAGCCCCTGGCTTCAGGCCATAATGCAGGTCTGGTACTGAGTGATGGAGGCGGGAAAGGCATTCTCAAGAGAACTGACTGAAATTGCCTTGCAGTCTAAAGAAGGACTGGTAGGGGGACCCCTGGGTAGCTCAGTCAGTTAAGTGTCTGACTTCAGTTCATGTCATGATCTCGTGGTCAGTGAGTTGGAGCCCCGCATCGGGCTCTGTGCTGACAGCTCAGAGCCTGCAGCCTGTTTCGGATTCTGTGTCTTACTCTCTGTCTGCTCCTCCCCTGCTAGTGCTCTGTTTCTCAAAAATGAATAAACATTAAAAAAAATTTAAAGAAGGATTGGTATGGCTGTCAGGGAGTTCCCAAGCTGGTCACCAGGCAGAGGAGGCCATGCCCTCTAGCAATGGGCCCGCCCCCTAGCAATGGGAAGCAGCCTTGGGAGGCAGGGCCTTGGTGTGAGCACGTGAAAGATTTTGGAGCTGGGCCGCTGAGGCCGTTGGTCAGTTGCACTCCCTGTAGTTGGATATGAGAGATGCGTTCTCATCGCCACCACTGGCATCCTCAGTTCTGTCCACAAATGTTTATGAACTAAGCCTAATGTCTATGCTTGGACTGTAGTAATGACATCATTCATGGAGTGGTGGCACCTCTTATTTAAATTTCTTCTAGGACTTGCCTGAAACTTTCACTCAGCTGGTTTTTTGTGATGACAAGATTAAGGACCGTGGAAGGCAGAGGACAAAGACATGTAATAATGACAGGAAACTTGCTCAATGCCAGGCCCTCCCTGTACTGGCTGCTTTGTACGCTCTCACTTCTTGTCCTCACAATTGCCCGAAGAGATTGATGCGCTGAAGTAATCATTTGTGTTTGTTTCTCCCTCAATTTCAGACCCGTCAAATGTTTGTGTTGCTGGATTTTGTGTTTCAGAAGTATGAGTTGCTCAGGGGGAAAGGTGGCAGGGAGAAAATACTAGGACGTGGGCAGTAGAAAAAAGATGGGGTGAGGTCCCTGAAGTTGGGACCGTCCTAAGTAGTTAATGGACCTGATCCTATTCTCAGAACTGTGCCCAGAGAACATAGGAGGGCTACAGAGGACTTGGGTACCCCCTTTATGAGTATCAGCACTGATCATCCTGAATCAAAGATGATAGGCCTTGCCTTATTTGGGGGCGCCATGTTGGCCTCCTGAATATTATGCAACATTAGAGAGAGGGTTGGACGCCTGGGAATGACCTTCCACCAATTTGGCAGGATGGAGACTTAGAAACGAAAGTGAATTTAAACAAAATAAAAATGTGTGATGTTTCTGGCACACTCGTATTTACGGAGTACGAGTCACTGCAATTTCATATCATATGGGGGTGGGAAGTCATTTTCAGTCACTTCTCAGGGTGCTCTCCTCTTAGGGCTGTGCTAGGGTCCTGGGGCATACAGGGTTAAGTCTTTTGTCCCGCAGCCTCTGCTGTGCAGCTCCGTCCTTCCTCAGCCCATTTTGGGCTATGGAGACATCTGAGTGGTCCCCCTTGTCCGGTGTCCTGCCGTGGGGCGGGCTGTCCCACTGAGAGCATCTGTTCCCTCTATGCCTACTCACTAAGACCAGGATTTCCTGCTGCCTCTCAATTCTCAAACCCACTACACCAGGAGTAGAGTAATGCTATCCAGAGTATCACAACAGTCAAATTCCATATTTTCAGTAGCTTGGAAAATAAGTTTATCTCCTGCTTGCATAAAAGTCCGGGACAGGTTTTCTTTGGTTTAAAGATGGCTTTCAGAAACCCAGGTACCTTTCATCTTGTGGCTCCTCTCTCCTAGAGCCTTGAAGTTCTCCATGCCCACCTGACAGTTGTGCTTATGAAAGAGAAACTGGAGAAATGGGCAACTTCCTTTGCCAGAAAATGCCACAACTGTATAGTCAAATGGCAGCTAGTCACATGGCTCCATCTGGTTGTGGGGGAGTCTGGGAGGTGTAGTTCCTGGCTGGGCTACTCTATAGTATGGAAGGGGAATGTGAAGGAGCATGAGCCTCTGCTATACAAGTAGCCAAGTTTGTCACACCTTCCATAGCCTCAGTGGCAACTAATGACCGTACTTTATACCTCTCTGAAAAATAGAACCATTCACACATTTCCTTACCTTCCCACCACCAAATCTACTGGGATGTGTATGTATCCCTTCTTTGCCTTCTTTCTTGTCACTGGTGTAATGGGATGTCACATGGTGCTTTCTTTGTTGTCTACGTTTTTACTGAAGGCAAAGACAGAAACCAGTGCCGTAGATGCTAAGTACCCCTCAATGCTTAAGTGGAGGGCTAGTCTACAACGCAAGATAGCCCCTAAGAGAGCTGCCCATGGTCCTCGTCTCCTAGTCTTTGTGCTTTTGCCTAGTTACCTCCTCTTGAGTGTGAGCTAGGCATAGCGATTTACTCCTCATAAATAGAGTACTGTAAAAGCAACGGATGTCACTATGAGATTAGGTTATTAAAAGCCTGTTGCTTCTGTTGAGCTCCCTTGCTCATTCTGAGTTAATCCAGCTGCCATGTTGTGAACTGCCCTATGAAGAGGCCCTCCTGGCAAAGAACTCACATCCCTGGCCAAGTCAGCGAGGACCCGAGGCCTGCCAACAGCCATGAAAATGAGCTTGGAAGTGGATCCTCCCAGTCAGACCTTGAAATGACTGCAGCCTAAAGCGACATCTTGATCGCAGCCTCAGGAGAGAGCCTAAGCCTAAGGTCCCCCGCTAAGCTGTGCTTTGCTTATCCACAGTGTCTCAGTTCACCAGGGCCACCATGACAGGGTCCCACAGACTGGGTGGTTCAAACAACAGACATTTTTTTCTCACAGTTCTGGAGGCTGGGAGTCAAAGTCAAAATGTTGGCAGGTTCTGTTTCCTTTGAGGTCTCCCTCCTTGTTTGCCGTTGGCCACCTTCTCTCTGTGTCCTCACATGGCCTTTCCTCTGTGGGCAACAACCCCTGGTACCTACCCCACTTCTTATAAGGACACAGGTCATATTGATCATGGCCCACCTCATGACCTAGTTTAATCTTAACTACCTCTTTAAAGGCACTATCTCCAAATGCAGTCACATTCTAAAGCACTGGGGGTTAGAGTTTCAACCTATGAATTCTGGAAAGACACAGCTCAATCCTTAACACACAGAAACTGTGAGATAATAAGTATTTGTTGTTTTAAATGCTAAAATTTGGGATAATTTGGTACATAGCAATAGATAACAAATACAAACGCTTAGGAGAGACTTTCTAATAGACTGTGAAACTATCTCTGCCCATGACCCCTCTCCAAGCATCTCCAAGAAGACTGGAGGGTTCACTGGTTGTGGAAGCCAGCTGCAGTGAGCCTTTCCATAAATAGAGATGTAGGTCAACCCCCCAACCCCACCCACATCACTGGAAGAAAAGGAATACACCCACCTCACCTCAACTGGTGTGGGAAGTGATAGGTTTCAGGACATGCTACCCCAAAATACAGCACCTTGGCATTGTTAAAAAGAAAAACCACAGGTCCACAATGGAGTCACTTGTGTTAGGTCCATGCCACCAAACCACAGCTTAATTCTTAACCTAATTACAGTTTCAATCTTTCCAGGAATGTAATCTTAACCAGTGAGTCTGGAATTTCCTGGTCAGCACCAGTGAGGTCATCTACCTAATAAGACCCTTTAGTCTGCTGAAGGGAGGTGACCTGGCCCAAAAGAATCCTTTCGTTGCTGTCTATGACTTCTTTGTCCTACCGCACCTCTGCCTTTAAGAAAACAAACAAACAAACAAACAAAACCTCCCACCTAGTACAGCTCTTCAGAGCTCTTTTCTGTTTGCTAGATGGGGAGGCTCCCCAATTCATAAAATATAGAATAAAGCCAGTTAGATCTTCAGATTTACCTGGTTGAATTTGTGTGTATGTGTGTGAAAATTAATAAAAGGAAACCTCACTTACAATGGAGATGGGCAGCAAGCAGGGGGTGGCTCTCACACCCCACCACTCCTCATGTTCATTGCAGACCCCACAGAAGGCCATGACTGTACGTCAAACTCCCATTTTACTCCAGCGGACTTTTTGTGTACACCATCCTTGCCAATTTCTCCTGTTCTCTATCAGAGAGGCTTCAACTCCTTTGTTCTCTGGGCTTGCCCATGGTTTTGCCTCACCTTGCTTGTCCTGGACTGCAGCTCTCTGCTCTTCTCGTTTTTGCTGATAAAATAACTGGCATTTTTATTCTTAAGGTTAACTTTTTAAAATAGCATAGTGAATATTTTAAACTGGATGAGTTTGAGAAAACGACAAAGAGACGTTCACTTTGACCTTTCCCTGCCCTGCTCTGAATGGGTCATAAAACCCTCCCTATCCCTGGAGGAAAGGAACATCCTCATATCAGAAGACAACAGGACTTTGTTAGCTGGTCTAATAATTGGATTGACTTAAGACAGACGAGTGAAGAAAACAAACAAAAGTTTAGTAACTTACATACTTTCAGTACACACAGGAGAGATCCAGGAAAAGGAGGTAAATGTCCAAACTGGCTGAAGCCATCACCTTAAAGTACCATCTCAGGCTAAAAACAAAGAAGGAGTGGTTATGGGAGATTACCAGGAATCACAATAAACAAGGATAAGGTAATTATGCAGATTGAAGTTATTGCCTCCTTCATTGATAAGAAGATTTGGTCATCCTCATACAGATGGGGAGATGCCCTTGCTAATGAGCTTTCCTTTACAAATGTAAACTCTCTTACAAAAGGGGAATTTCTCCATTTTCAAAGCTTCTTCTGTGTCTGCAGCTTCTCAAAAAGAACCCGCTTAAAATGATCAAAATGCCAAAGAAGCATTTCTTGGGGTGACATGATCTCCTCCCCTTCAATGCCAAGAAGAACCCTAATAAACAGGTCTTCTCCCAGCTCGCTATGCTTACGCCATACTCCTCAGTCTATCATATTCCTACAGGATTTTATCTATAGCATTGCTCATCAGACACGGCACAAAAATACACAGATCTGCCTCCCCTAATGATGGCTCCCATATCATGTAAAACTTAAGCAAATAAATCTATATTCTTTTCTCCTGTTAATATCTTTGTCAGTTTAATGTCTAGACCTAGCCGGTACCTTAAGAGAGTCAAGGAAAACTTTTTCCTTCTCTAAAGAAAAGCAGCTTCGAGGGAACAGTCGGAGACTGTCATGTGTGTTCCCTGGATTTAGGGGGAAGAGTGGCTGGTACCCGACCCCACCTGGGGAACCCTAAAAGGGAGCCATTCTGCCGAGGGTGCCTCTATCCGGCTGCAGATCTGAGAGGGAAGGAGGTGAGCATGTGAAGAGTAGCAGAATAGGCCACCCCCAATATGCCAGTTTGGTATAAGAATTATTTTGAGCTAAAGGCAGTTGAGAAGACGCAGATACAAGAAGAGCTCCCTGCCCTCCCCCAATCTGCCGCAAAGCAGGACATTTGTAAAGGTACCCCCCCCCCCCCCCAGAAAGGACAGACGTTAATCACTGGAGTTAACTCTAGACTCTTACAAGCACCAAAACCTTGCTAAAAGTAGCCCTTATCATCCATTCGTTGCCCCATATATTTGCTTTCCCACAATCCCGAGGAGCTCGAAGTTCTTTTCCTTTGTCTTGTCACTTCTCTACAACTTTCTTGTTCTTTTGTTATGTTATGTAAGCCCAAGTTCTAACCACCCCTTTGAGTTACTCATGGCTGAATGCTCCCCATGCAAATGTACATGTTAATAAACGTCTCTTTGTTTTCTCTTATAATTCTGTCTTTTGTCAGTCTAATTTGCAGGGCCCCAGTCAAAGAACCTAAGACAGGCAGAGGAAAAAGGTGTTTCCCCCTCTCCTACACATGTTTCCAGTGGGGGGAGGGGGGAGTAGATGGATAGAAGAGGGCTAGACTTTTTGAGGGCCTGAAAAGGGACCTTGGTGAAGGATGTGTGTGGAGGGGCCAAGGTGACCCAGCAAGAGGGATGCTGCTGGAGGTTAGGGGGCTGGGGGAGACATAAGCCAGAGCTCCTTAAACTGGACTGGTGATCGCATCACTGGGCTTCTTGTTAACATGTAGACTCTGATTCAGCAGGTGAAGTGACGTCACCCTCCAAGTCTGACGGCTGGACTGCTTACCAGCAGAAGGCTGGAGAAGGTGCCCCTGTGGGTAAAACGCCCCTAGGGACAGAGAAAGATAAATGGCTTCCTGCCTGCACCCTACTGAGTGCAGCTGGTGCTATAAGCCAGGAGCGAACCGGATGCAGTGGTCCCTGCCTTCACACCTTCCCAGGGACCTCGGTCCTGTCCCCTCTCTCAGAATCCCAAAGTTGCAGCCCCAAACCTTCCCTCCTTCTCCAATATCATCAGTGCCCTTCTGCCGGTTAGATCTTTCCCAGCCGCACCCCTGCTCATGGTTCTTCTGTAACAAGCAACACAAACCCTTTATCCAACCCTGCTCCTCCCCTCCCCCCGTCAGCCACAGTTCTCAGTGAAATTTCTCCTCAGAACACACACACATTTTCTCTATTTCCTTGCCATACACTCACTTTTTAAAGGCACATTTAAATTGGGAAATTTGTGGGGCGCCTGGGTGGCTCAGTCGGTTAAGTGTCCAACTTTGGCTCAGGTCATTATCTCACAGTTCGTGGGATCGAGCCCCATGTTGGGCTCTGTGTTGACAGCTAGCTCAGAGCCTGGAGCCTGCTTTGGATTCTGTGTCTCCCTCTCTCTCTCTGACCCTCCCCTGCTCATGCTGTCTCTCTCTCTCTCAGAAATAAAAAAATAAATAAATAAATTGGGAAATTTGTATACATAGGAGTGTAAAGAAGGTTTGTTTCATTCCTTGGATGAGTAACTAGTTGCTCTGAGGCTTCATTTTCCTACTGTAGCAAGCATACAGCCTTGCTATGCTTGGAGAGCACTGAATAAGTGTAAGAGGCAAAGTAGGTCCTCAAGAAACCACCTTAGTTTTGGCCAAAGATAAGAAACCCCCCATGGCGGGTGCCTGGGTGACTCAGTCAGTTGAGTGTCTGACTCATGATTGTGGCTCAGGTCATGATCTCACAGTTCATGAGACAGAGCCTCACATCAGGCTCTTTTGCCAACAGCAGGAAGCCTGCTTGAGATTCTCTCTTCCCCCCCTCTCTGCCCCTCCCTTGCTCTCTCTCTCTGAAAGAAAAAAAGAAAGAAAGAAAGAAAGAAAGAAAGATTTAAAAAAAAAGAAGAAAGAAACCTCGTGGCTCTAGGTATAGCAGGGCTGGCATTGGCTGAGATGTGCCCAGGCAAGTCCAGGCACATCCCCAGATTTCTCTATGCCTCCCTGCCCACCCTCCACTCCCCCACCCCCGTCATCACCCTGTGGCCTCCATGCTCTGTGGCCTGAGCTGGAGCTGAGGATTGAAAGCTGAAATCAGCAATGAAAGGGCAAGAATGAGAGGCCAGCAGACCATGCCTCTCACCCCCCAGCCCCCTGCAAGCTCACTAAAGTACAATCTATCCCTCAGGTCCCAGGGGGCCGGTGATTTCTGGATCTGTCTCCTATCAAACAATCAAAATTCAACTGAGTAAATTTTAAAGATAATAACTGGCTTTACTGAATCCCTCATGAATTGGGCAGAGCCCCATCTAGTAAATAGAAAGAAGCCCCAAAGGGCTACAGAAAGGGAAACGTTTTTAGAGGAAAGACCAGGAAGTCATTAAAAAAAAAAAATTATTTGGGCAAGATTACCTCCCTTGGAGGACAAAAAGGCTTGTTTTATTAGGTGAATTCTGTTACCTGGGCCAACCAGGAAATTCCAGATTGACCAGTTCAGATTACATTTCTGGGAAGGGTTGAAACTGCAGTGAGGTTAGGTATAAAGTCCCAGTTGGTGACAAGGGACTAGGACAAGGGACTCCATTTTGGGTGTCTTGATTATTTTTACTACTCCCTTATTCTGTATATTCCATACCTTGTTCTTACTGCATGTGCTCTGAGGGGCTAGGATTTGCCGGCCATGGGGCCAGGCACCAGAGGGGTTCAGAGACTATGACCCAGCACATTCCCTGTCCTCCAGGAATTCATCAGAGGGACAAACAAGGTAATCACGTTTCAAATCAGAACTTCATGGGGGGAAGGTTATGTAGCCTTGGCTGAGATACTTCCAAGGGCACTTTCCATCTCTTCATCCACAAAATAGGATAACATGTACCTTTCAGGGCTGTTTTGAAAATGACACAGTGCAATCTAACTCTTAGGATTTATACAGTAAGAATTTTTCTGTTTTGTTTTGTTTGTTGAGAAAAAAATGGAACAGCCGCATGAGGAATGGAATTTACTTCTTTCTAAAGATGTGCAAACACATTGGAGATTTAAAAAAAATAATACATGGCAATACATATTATCATCTGAAAGACAGAAAAGCATTTTGGGGGATTTTTTTGGTTTTATTGATAATTAAACCCCAACTTGCTGGGTGAAAAGTGAAAGGCGATGCCCTTTCCAGATGTTGGTGTCGCCACCAGGGGGCATTTGTTTGTGGACACTAAACTGGCCTGACTGCAAAGCGGTTCTGCTCTCCCTGTGGAAGGTAGAAAAGAGAGAACACAGCTAATTGTCAAGAACTAAGCTGAGGCAGGTATTGAATGTTCATCTCATTTCTAAATTTAGTTCTGAAGCCGTGTGACAAATAGAATAAACGAGACTGTGGAAGTACAACGGAGCGAGAGAAGCCTGCAATTGGTCTTTCTCTTGTAAATACCTCCTGGAGGAAAAAAACCGTGTTCTACTGCAATGCTGTTAGATGGTCGGGGCTTTGCAGAATGCGTTCTTAGAGCAACAGTAATAAGTGGACACGAAACATCTTGCTTTGGGAGGTTTCTATTTGACTTCCTGAGGGATTTTTTTTTTTTTAGATTCACATCTACCTGGAAATTCATGTAAAATTATAGTTTGCGTTAATTTCTCCCTTAAATGTTCCCTGTTTTATTTTCACTTCTGCAGGGCTGGGGAGCACCCTGGGAGCTGTCCTTCTCACCCACTGTCTTCAGGAGTAAAAAGAGGGTTTTCACTCCCCTCTAGTGGCTGGACCTGGTCTCCTTGCCAGGTTGAAACCGCGGAGGGGCTGGGTCAACAGTGGCGCCTGGAAAGGTCCCCAGGCTGTGCAGGAGAGGGACAGGGCCAGATTACCACCCCACAGAGGCCAGGTTCTTCTGCCCCGCTCCCCACTCTCCGGCAGGAAAACAGGCCTGGTCTGGGAGCTCTCCTGACTCCGGGTGGCACCCAGGAGGTCCCTGTCCTGCGGATAGCAGGAGGACCCAGCCCCGCAAGGAGAGCTGGCGTGGAAGCCGCTCATGCCTTGTGGTTCTGTTCTGTGACAGGAAGGAAGAGGGGCACCGTGGCCTCAGGGTGCCCCTTGCCTGGTGCCCCCCCTCCCCCCAGGGCGGCATGCCAAGAGAGATGAAAGTCCTCTGCGGTCCCTGGTCCCACGTTCATTGGCAAGCCCTCCATTATGAGTCTGTGTCTGCTGTGGGTGGTGGTGGCCACAGGAAGGATTAGAGAGACTCCCAGCAGAGGGGGTGCTTTCCTGGTGCGTGAGCTTCCCCAGGGGCCCCGCACTGCCACAGACCACCCCCACCCTGCCTCCTCCTCAGGGACACAGCTACAGTTACCTGTGACTCCGTGCTATGTGAGATGCTGCCTCCCCACTCCCGCACTTGCCCACCTCTTTGATGTTGTAAGTAACTTAAATTTTAAATAGCCACGGGTGGCTATTGGCTATGGTATGGGACAGTATGGTTCTAGACAATGCGAGAGGGAGAACTTTGTAACCCCAGCCCCGTGCAGGAAAAGGGCAGTCGCAGGATTGGATTCGTGATGAAACGTGCAAGCTCTGAAGTGAGGGTAGGCACCAGTCAGGCGCAATCAGAAGTGTGCATCCATCCATCCAACAAACTACTTCCCCTCATCTTATCGATAATGTTCAAATGTGACTTAGTGCCTCCCCCACGAGTCAAGCAGCTGGGCGGCTGACACCCTGCCCTGCTCGCCCTATGCATTTTGGTTTCCCCAGCACCAAACACAGTACCTGACACGTGGTAGAACCTCAAAAATTATTTGTGTTGAAGGAACGGAGCCCTGCCGGGCCCTCGGAGAGACGCCCAGATCAATCAGACATAGATCCTACCCTGTGGCTTTATGGCCCCATCATAAATACGCAACATACTAGATGAGAAGACTCGCGTGAAAGCGCTGGTGTTGTGCCTGGCACAGAGTAGGCCCACGGTAACTGTTTCTTTTCTCCCTTCTTTTCTTATATTCTCCCTAGAACTCACCCTTCCAAGAAGGCCCAAAGGGATGTAGCACTCGAGGCTTTAGAAGCAGCAAAGATTAATTTTGTCTGGGAGAAGCAATGAAAGCTTCCTGGAGGAGGAAGCATTTGCTCTGGCTCATCCAGAACTCTAAAGGGCAGGAACACAGGGAAAGTAAAGATGTGCGTGGAGAAATGCAGCAAAGTGCAGGTCGTTTGTGGACCTATATGAAGGGATGAAGTAGAAAACAGGGCAGGAAGTGCCTCGATTACTAGGTTAGGGCCCTAAAGCATGGTGTGAAAAACCTGGATTGCATTACCAGAGCGATCAGATAGCCCTGGTCCTGGCCCAGACTCTGCTGTCGAACTACAGACTGTGTGCAAACTGTGGGCAAGCTCCCCAGCTCCTCTGAGCCTCATTTTCTTCATCCATAAAATGAGGATGATACTACGTACTCCAAAAACATGAATGAGAGCACACTGCAAAAACACACAGTTCTCATCTTTTCCCACTTTGGAAAAAATTTGCATATTATCACATAGAGGGTTAATCCAGTACTCACCTATATGCCATTCTTATATTCTAATTAACAGCTTTTCTATTTATGGATATTTAGGTGGCTTCCAATCTTTAAGTACTTTATATCTACGTATCTTCAAGATAAATTCATATAAAGTAGCATGGCTCCATCAAAGTGTATATGAAATTTAAATGTTGACAGAATTACCAACTTAGTCTCCATAAAAGAGCGAATCAGTTTCCACTTCTATCAGCAATTATATAAAGGTCTCTTTCCTTATGCCTTCACTAACAGGGTTACCATATTTTCTTTACCTTGGCCAATCTGAAAGGTTGTGTGTGTGTTAAGTTTATTTATTTATTTTGTGTGAGAGAGAGCATGTAGGAGGGGCAGAGGGAGAGGGAGAGAGAGGGAGAGAGAGAGAGAGAGGAAGAGAGAGAGAGAGAGAGAGAGAATTCCAAGCAGGCTCTGCACTGTCTGCACGGAGCCAGATGCAGTGTGTGATCTCATGAACTGTGAGATTATAACCTGAACCAAAATCAGAAGTCAGATGCTTAACTGACTGCGCCACCCAGGCGCCCCTGAAAGGTTTTAAGTTGGCACCTAATTGTAGTTTTACTTTACATTTGTATTATTAAAATTGAGGTCTGGCATCTTTTCAACTTTTAAAAGCCATTTGTGTTTCTTCTCTGGGAACTGTTTGTAGCCTTGACCATTTCAATTTGGTTGTTAGCTTTTTTCTCATGGATTTATAGCAACTATTTATTTATGAAGGAAATTAGTTCTTCTGGATATAGTCACACAAGTTTTCCATAGTTTGTCATCTCTCTTTCACTATGTCTATTTTATTCCCCTGGAAGATATTTTTCTTATCTTTACATAGTCATATTGGCCATTTCTTTCCTTCATGGTTTCTGGGTTTTGAATCTTGCTCAGAAAGGCATCCACTCCAAGATAATAAAAGAAAATTCTGGATTTACCTGGGGGTGAGGAGAGAGGCAGGAAATTCTGCTTTCTTTTTTTCCAGATAGCAGTCACCCTAACACCGTTTCTCTGGATTCCTTTAAGAGGCAAGAGTCATTCGAGAACCACTCAAGGGGCCCCACTAAGAGGAAGCACACGGATTGACGTAAATGTTCTAAATGTCATTTCATCCCCATAACCACCATGTGAGGTGTCAGCATCCTGTTTCTCAAATGAGGGAGCTAAGGTTCAGAGAGGTTGAGTAAACTGCCCACAGTGGCACAGCCGGCAAATGACAGACCTGGGATTTGAACACTAATCTGTCTGACTACAATGTCTGTGTTCACTCCACCCTCGAGAATTAGGAGTCCAAAGTGGGAGGCGTGGTATACATACAGGGCTTTCTGGAAGGATTAGACGATGACTTTTCAGTCTCATTGTCCTCATTCCTTCCCTCCAAAGGCCTCCTATACTCCGCGGCCAGCAGACACAGGTGTCTGTCTCAGCAAAGCTGCCCCTGTTCAGGAATACCAGCTAGGAATAGTCACAGGAGCCAGATATAAGTAAATAAATAAACCTTTGTCATGTTCACTGAAAATTCTTCAGCTGATGGGTAGCAGCAGCTAGCATTAACCTAAGTATTAGAATTGTCTAGTCACAATGGATCCTTGAGGGAACCACAACTGAGGGCAGCCAGTTCGTCTCTGAGACTATTTCCTTCTTTCCACTTATCCTGGAGGCGATGGTCCTCCTCACCTGCCCCGTCTCAAAGTCGTCACCCACTCCATCCCTTCCCTTCCCTCCCTTTTTCCTCTCCTTTCCTGCAGCCCTAATCCGAATCATTCTTTGAGAGCTAAGACGCTCCCTTGCAAGCTTGCCAAGATTCACACTCAGGTGAGTGTGCGCCATCTGGGTGTCTACCTTGGAGCGGGCTAGAGCGTGAGAGCCAGTAGGGACATTCACAGGGAACACACAGGAGTGCTCCAAGGTCAACCAGCGCCTGCTGCGGGGGCTGCGTAACTAATTCTTCCGCGGTCCCTCCAAGTAGGACACAGGCCCAGTGGAGAGTGCCTTACCTGGTTATAATATGCAGCTTTTATGACTGCTCTTTCTATATCTTATCAATGGGGTAAAGGGCAAGGGCCTGAGGCATGTGTCTGAAGATAGATGCCATGCTCACAGCAGCTCTTTGGCCCAATTCATGCAAGTTGTGCTCTGAGAGGTCTAGTTTAGCAAGAGGTAGGTTAGGCTGCCTTGTCGATGGTGGAGGTGGTGGCAGTAGCAGGGACGGTGAGAAGGGTAGTGGAGGGGATGTCGGAGAGGCAAAGACTCCAAAGGAGATGGTCCCTTGGTAGGAATTTTAAAATGCTCCTGCAGGGGCGCCGGGGTGGCTCAGTCAGGTAAGCGTCCGACTTCGGCTCAGGTCATGATCTCAGGGTTTGTGAGTTTGAAGCCGATGTCAGGCTCTGTGCTGACAACTCAGAGCCTGGAGCCTGCTTCGGATTCTGTGTCTCCCTCTCTCTGCCCCTCCCCTGCTTGTAACTCTGTGTCTCTCTCCCTCAAAATAAATAAACATAATTTTTCTTTTTAATGAGCCTGTGGGATGGGTGCCTGGATGGCTTAGTCGGTTAAGTGTCTGACTTTCACTCGGGTCATGATCTCATAGTTCATGAGTTCAAGCCTTGCATCAGGCTCTGTGCTGACAGCTCAGAGCCTGGTGCCTGCTTTGGGTTCTGTGTCTCCCTCTCTCTCTGCCCCTCCTCACTTACGTTCTGTCTGTCTCTCTCTGTCTCAAAAATAAATAAACATTTAAAAAAAATTTTAAATGCCTCTGCGGGAAAACTTAAGGACTACCCTCGAAATCATTATTTTTCCTGTTCATAACAGTGCCACCTGCAGTAATTTCTTTGACATCAGCCATGGAAACATTTTTCTATATATGTCTCCTCAGGCAAGGGAAACAAAAGCAAAAATAAACTATTGAGGCTACACTAAAATAAAAAGCTTTTGCACAGCAAAGGAGATCATCAACAAAACAACAAGGTAACCTACTGAATGGGAGAAGATAATTGTGAATGATATATCCAATCAGGGGTTAATATCCAAAATATATAAAGAACTCATACAATTCAATGCCATAGAAAACTCCAAATAATCTGATTTAAAAATGGGCAGAGGAACTGAGTAGATATTTTTTCAAAGAAGACATCCAGATGGCCAACAGATCCATGAAAAAATGTTTGGGGCACCTGGGTGGGTCATTTGGTTAAGCATTCGACTTGGGCCTAGGTCATGATCTCGCTGTTGGTGAGTTCGAGTCCCGTGGCAGGCTCTGTGCTGATGGCTCAGAGCCTGGAGCCTGCTTCAGATTCTGTGTCTCCCTCTCTCTCTCTCTCTCTGCCCCTCCCCCACTCATGCCTCCGTCTATCTCTCTCAAAAATAAATAAACTCTAAAAAAAATTTTTTTTAGATGTTCAACATCACTCATCATCAGAGAAATGCAAATCAAAACCACAATGAGAGATCACCACATACCTGTTAGAATGGCTAGAATCAAAAAGATAAGAGATAACAAGTATTGGTGAGGATTTAAGGATAGTACACTGTTGGTGGGAACACAAACTGGTGCAGCCACTGTGGAACACAGTAGGGAGATTCCTCAAAAAATTTTAAAATAGAATTATGATATGGTCCAGTAATTCCTGCTAGGTATCTACCCAAGAAAATGAAAATACTAATTCAAAAAGATACATGCACCCCTATGTTTATTGCAGCATATTTACAATAACCAAGATATGGAAGCAACTAAGTGTCCACCCATAGATAAATGGATAAAGAAAAAGTGATGTGTATATATGTTATATATATAATGCATATACACACACATATATATACACATACTGGAATATTATTCAACCATAAAAAATGAGATCTTGACATTTGCAACAACATGGATGGCTAAAGGGTATTGTGCTGTGCGGAATAACACAGTAAGAGAAAGACAAATGCCATGTGATTTCACTTATATGTGAAATTTAAGGAACAAAACAAATGAACAAAGAAAAAAGAGATGAAAATATAGACTCTTAAATGCAGAGAACAAACTGGTGGTTGCCAGAGCAGAGACGGGTGGCAGGATGGGCAAAATAAAGGAGATTAAGAATACACTTAAATACGGTGAGCACTGAGTAATGTAGAGAATGGTTGAATTACTTATATTGTACACTTGAAACTAACATAACACGGTATGCTAATTACCAGAAAAAAAAAATAGTGTCTTCTGTCATCCCAGATGCTGAGGGGCATCACAATGGGTGACATGAGGTACTTGATGCTGACTATTCCCTGACCTTGAGTCACCACTGGAAAGTCATTGGGTCTTGAATCCCTTAAATTTTAAAATTGATCACTTACTGCCTAAGCATTGTTCCGTGCACTGCCAGGAGGAAAACCATTTACACCTTCTTGCTTCTGGCTACCTTATTTTTTCTCTACACAACTCAGCTCAAATATCATGTCTTCTGGTAGAACATCTCCAAGCCCAGAGTCGGCTGGTCTAAACTCCCATCTCTGTGCTCTCAGCTCTCCACACATACTTTTAACACACCCCCACAGTCTGTTCATATCTTACCCTCTTGTCAGATGGAAAACGCCTTTAAAGCAAGGATTGTTCCTTGTCTGACTACGTCCAATCCATCCCAGTGCCTGGCAAAAAAGCAAGTGTGTTAAATAGAAATCAACCTTTTTAGCCAAAGTGGAATATTTTTCAATAGATGGTTTTAGAAAGATACACATTAAATATTATGAAATTGAATCTTAGGACTTTGACTCTGTACAGACTTAAACCTTCAGAGGAGGAAAGGAAGTCCCTGAAGAAGAAATGGCTTGCTCAGAGCAGAGTCACAGGTCAACAGCCAGGCCAACACCTGAGTGCCTTTACTGGTGGAACAAAGCTTGTTAGTGACATCAGAAACCGTCCTGAGGCTGGCGTTTGTTGGTATAAAATAGCCCAAAACACTTTCATTAGTTGGTATGGTCTTTCACCCCAAAGTCTAAAAAAAATTCTTTGGCCTCTGTATTTTCTGCCCTTTTCATTTCTACTAGATATTTTTCTTTTAAAAATTTTACCTTTTATTAATTTTGATGATAAAAGTTTACATGCTCATTATAGAGATTCTGGAATATGCTGAAAAGTAAAAGAAAGAAAGAAAGAGAAAATTTAAAATAATCTGGAAGTCCACCAGTCAGAGACCACCTATATTAGTATGATATATTGCTGCCGATAAATATATGTGACTGAGATCAAGCTGTATGTTGAATTTTATGTTTTTCCTTACTGTTGGATTGTGAGTAAAGTCCTTAAAAATTAGGTTTTCTGGGGTAGCTGGGTGGCTCAGTCAGTTAAGCGTCTGACTCTTGATTTTGGCTCTGGGCATGATCTCACAGTTCTTGAGTTTGAGCCCGGCATCAGGCTCTGTGCTGACAGTGTGGAGTCTGCTTTGGATTCTCTCTCTCCTTCTCTCTCTCTGCCCCTACTTCACTTTCTCTCTCTCAAAATAGATAGACTTGAAAAAAAAATTTTAAATCAGGTTTTCCTCTGTAGGGTTTGTGCTGGAAGCTTTTCAATCAGTACACTTTGTAGTGAGTTAATTTATAAATAAAAAGGAGCCAGTAGTGAAAATAAAAAGGGAAAATGATATATAATTTATTATTTGTGATAGCTACACTTTAGTCTATAGGAATAGATCACCTTTTCCTAACATCTGGGTGGCTCATAATGTTTCCCTGCAATAAATGAAAACTGTGTTTATTTCATCATCTCACTGTGATGAAACATCTCTGTATGAAATCTCTACCTGTATTTCTAAGTATTGCCTTATGAGTCCTATGTTATGTCCTCAACATTGAAGGAAAGATTTTTAAAAGGTGAATTATTTTATTTTTTTTAATTTTTAGTTTTTTTTTAATGTTTTTATTTATTTCTGAGAGAGAGAGAGACAGCGTGAGCAGGGGAGGGTCAGAGAGAGAGGGAGACACAGAATCTGAAACAGGCTCCAGGCTCTGAGCTGGCAGTCAGCACAGAGCCCGACGCGGGGCTCGAACCCACGAACCGCGAGATCATGACCTAAGCGAAAGTCGGACGCTTAACCGACTAAGCCACCCAGGCGCCCCAATATTTATTTATTTTCCCAGGCGCCCCAATATTTATTTATTTTTAAGAGATGGAGAGGCAGAGTGTGAGCAGGGAAGGGGCAGAAACACATGCATGCGCACGCACACACACGCGCGCGCGCGCACACACACACACACACACACACACACACACACACTCCGAAGCAGGCTCCAGGCTCACAGCTGTCAGCACAGAGCCCGACACGGGGCTTGAACCCAGGAACCGTGAGATCATTACCTGAACCCAAGTTGGACGCTTAACCGACTAAGCCAGCCAGGCGCCCCAAAAGGTAAATTATTTTAAAACTTAGGATCAGCTCAAAAGATTATGCTCTTTTTCAAATTGCTTTAAAAGCACTGACTCCATTTCAGTAGAAAAAGGAAAGATAATTTAATAAACAGCAAATATATATATGTAATAGAGTCAAATGGTATTAAGTTTAGCCTGTAACATTAGACACTTGAGTCTTAATATTTAAGGGAGGGATTGATTTCTCTTTTTACCTAGAACTGTAAATTACATGTTAATTGCCATTACGTAATGCTAAAGAAGAGATATTGCTTTTTGAACTATTTATGCCATCTGTATAAAAGTTAAATAGTTTGCAGGGTGCCTGGCTGGCTCAGTCAGAAGAGCATGTGACTCTTAATCTCGGGGTCGTGAGTTCGAGCCCCATGTGCAGTGTAGAGATTACTTAAAAAAAAAAGTTAAGTAGTTTAAATTCAAAGATAAAGTAACTAGAAAGACTATCTGGTTCTTAAAACAGGGAAGCTAGCTCCCGGATTTATATTTGTAGCCATAGGAAATACTGAAGTAAAATAAAGTTGTTTCCCTAATAATCGGCTTACAGAAAAGACTTCCATCTTAAGCTTCCTCACCTAAAGTTTAAACATCTGCAGATTCATAAAAAAATATTTTAAACAAGCTAAAAGCTAAAATAAAATTCAGATTTGAGAGATTAAAAATAAAAGCAAGCAATAAAAATAGACCCCTAAATGTTTCTATTTTTTTATTCTATACGTATTTGTGGTCAGGACGTATATAGACACTAGCTTATGGAGATTATACTTTCATTTCACAAATGCAAAAACGTATTTTATAATATTAATATGGTCCAACTATCAAATTTTTGCTTATTATGAAAAGAACAGTAAAAATAATTATAAAAAGGCACCAACACATCTCAAGGCAGCTTTCAGTATTACACATATTTTCCAACTTGCCCCGCATCATGTTTTCTTTTTTAATCACTGGAGGAAACTGCTTAAAAACAGGATTAATAGTGGACAAACAAGATGGCTGTGGAAGTGATTTCAAGGCGACCAAGCAATTTTGAGCCCACAGGGGTAAAAACCGCTGAGATTCTTCAAAACAAACACTCCGGTTTCAGGAGAGAGCCCCCCACCCCAGCCCAGTGAAGAGGGGATATAAGGCTATAACAAACCCTCCACGCAAATCTCTCACTGATACCAGGAAGCAGGACAATCACCCACATTTACTGACCCGTTACTGTGTACCAGGGACTATGCAGGGCACTTGGCAAACATCATTCCATCTAACCTGCACCCCTGCATAGCCCCATGAGATAACTGTCATCATGATCCCCATTTTACAGAAAGGAAAGCTGATGTCCAGAGAGGTCTACTGTCTCTCCCAAAAGTCACATGGCGAGGGGGTGGCTGGGATTCAGTTGGGGCCTTTGTGATGCCCTTTTAACTTCCCACCTCTCACACAGTCGCCTCAGGCCCGGTTTAACACTGAGAGATAAAACAGTAGGAATCACTGTAAAAGGAGGGTGGAGTCCACCCAGATTGGATTTCTAAACTAAAGTGCAAGAAAGTTTCAGTGCTTTGGCAGAAGACTATCTAGGTCCTCAGAGGACTCTCCTTGGACAAGGGGCTTAGGGAGATAAGCATTAAGGCAATAGTGAGTGGAAGATTTGAGCCGCAAACCCATCCCCTTCTCCCTTCCCTTAGCCTTCTCTCGGAGAGGAAGGGCTGCTCTGACTGCTCCCCAGTCCTACAAGTTCCCGGTTCCAGCCTGGCCTCATAATACAGCTTGTCTGGGGTGCCTAGGGCCACACACCCACCCCAGGCCTGTGCTGGGGGCACTCATGCTGGCCAAGTCCGGGCCGCTCCACCCTGAGAGGAGACAAGCAGCCCCGTGTCCACCAAGCGTCCTGTGTTGTTTGATGTAATTCCACTGGTGGTGAAACCCATGCTTCGCTTCACCGCTGCGGCTCCTTCTGTGTCTCTGACAAAGCCCAGGAGCGACAGGCTGGGGCAGGGCGGTCAGAGACTCGGGGGGGGGGCTCTCAGCACCCTTTGATTTCAGGTTAAATCCCTTTACCCTCCCCCTGCCCTCAAGGCCCAAAGGAGTTGGGCTGGTGGTGACCTCTTAGATGCTTTGGACTTAAAATCTTATGAAACTGATTCCAAGGGGAAAAAAAAAAAAGATGGCCTTGACTTTGGGCTGTATAAAACCGAGCCTAAAATATTTAGATCTAGAATCTAGAATATTAAAAACCAGCATTCTTTACAGATATAATTTTTAGAACAAAATTATAGGTAAAGGTCTCCAAGGATTGTCACATATAAATCTTTGGATAACCTGAACTTACAGGTGTCTTTAGCTTCCAGCTTTACCTCAGGAACCCAAGGCAGAACCACTCAGGGATTGTTTCCACGAACTCCAGCCCTGAAATTCCCCTCCCTGGCCACGCTCTCCTACCCTCCTATATCTAGCCTTCCATCTCATCCAAACGTGAGGCCTTCCGTTCCTGCAGTCCCAGCTCTCTCGGAACACAGGTCACTCATGTCCCTGGGACCCATCTCCCCTCTGTCCTATACCTGCTATGCCTCCCACACAGTCACTATGGTCTAAGGGGGTAGCTCTGGCGGTGTGTGACTCAAGCCTGGTCAATAGATAACATGCTGCCTACACTGAGCAAGGCACTCTTCTAAGTACTTAAAAAAATTTTTTTAAGTTTATTTATTTATTTTGAGGAGGGGAGGGGCAGAGAGAGTGGGAAAGAAAGAATCCCAAGCAGGCTCCACACTGTCAATGCAGAGCCAGATGTGGGGCTCGATCTCATGACCTGAGCCAAGATCTCATGACCTGAGCCAAAATCAAGAGTTGGGTGCTTAACCGACTGAGCCACCCAGGGCCTCACCCTCTAACTACTTTTTAAATGTTAACTTATTTAAGCTACAGGACAACCCTATCAGATAAGTACTATTCTCATTTTGTAAATGAGAAAACTAAGATTCAGAGAAGTTGAATGGCTTGCCCAAGGCACACAGCTAATGAACTTTGTTTTCCTCTGACTGGTATGATTGGCTCAGCATTGTACCTGTGAGCAAGTAAGAGCCTATCTGATGCAATTGCTGGGGCTTCTCCATAAGAGACTTTTGTTCTTGCTTGTGCTTGAAGTGGGGTATATGTGAGAAGCAGTGCAGCCGTCTGCTGCTGACCACATTCTTTACAAATGAAGCCATTATAGGACAGAGGGAAAGAAAGAGAGAAACTAAGTCTCAACAATATAGGAGCCCTGGATCAAACCGTGTCTGAAGGCAGACCTACTCCTGACTTTTTCGTTTGGTGAGCTAGTGAATTATCTTTCTGTTTAAAAAAGTTTGGTTTGAGTTATCTTTGACTTACAGTAAAAAAAAAAAAAAAAAAAAAAAAAATCCTAGCTATGGGGCCCCTGGGTGGCTCAGTTGGTTAAGCATCTGACTTTGACTTAGGTTATGATCTCACGGTTTGAGTTCAAACCCCAAAGCTGGGCCTCTCTTTCTCTCTCAATATATATAAAACATTAAATTAAAAAAAATTCCTAGCTAGTACAGCTTAGTGTATCCACTTCATAATTCAGCCTACATAACTTTTTACTATTTCAAAGTCAACTGATGAGAAAAACAAGCATCCTTTGATGAATATAAACACTTAAATATTTAAAAGTTTTGTTTTGGCAGCATATTATACCACCAAAATCATGATTCATGCAGATAAGCACCAGTATACACACTTGTATAATTTCATGAACACAAGCATGCATGGTCTTGATTTTTTTTTTTTAATCAAAAGGTCAATGCAGAACTAAACATGTCCAAATCAGTGACACATTTAAAAAAGTTTGCAGAGATGACCTAAATGGGCTTCTTACCTCCATTCCGGTATAAGCCCCTATGCTTAACTTGAGCGCCTGTTGCTTGAGCACCTGTCACACTGCAGAGTCTCTTGATGACCCTTGTTTCTGTAGATTTTTCTACTGCATTTAACCCTATTTGCCCTCTGCTTCTTTATTCTCTTTTTTCGGATTGTTGTTAACAGTTTACTTTCTCTTCCCTTTTTTGTTTCTTTTTTTTAAAGCAATTTTTTAAATGTTTATTTTTGAGAAAGAGAGTGCGAGCAGGGGAGGGACAGAGAGAGAGGGAGACACAGAATCTGAAACAAGCTCCAGGTTCTGAGCTGTCAGCACAGAACCCGACGACACGGGGCTCAAACCAACAAACTGCGAGATCATGACCTGAGCCAAAGTCGGACACTTAACTGACTGAGCCACCCAGGCGCCCCACTCTTCTCTTTTTTGTCCGCACTTATACATCACAAGTGTTGGCATCTCCCAAAGTTTTATTCTCCACAGAATGAAACTTAGTTGTTCTTAGGATACAGGCTTAGCTGCTGTAACAAAAAGACTCTCGCCCTCTCGTCTCCCACAGAGTAACCCGCAACGCCACCTCCCACGAGAGACAAGTGTGTTTCCCCTTCACTTGCTAGCCGGCCCTGTAGGCAGGCGTCCGTGTGCCACAGACCACCCAGGAGTCGGGGTTACTTCTGTCCAGCTCTTCCACCATTCCTAGGAGGGGTATCCACGTTCTGGTGGTCAGAGCTATTTCCTCTGCGGCTCCTCCTGCCCGCCCCACACCCCATGTGCCCTGCGAATGCTACCCAGCCTCCAAGGTCCAGCGGTCACGGCCCATCCTCCCACGTCCCCGCCTCGAGTTCCAGCTCCCACCCCATCCCCACCCCAGACACCCAGGCTTCCCTGCTTTTGAGGCCCTTTGCTTGTAAACTCATTTGGTCCTGGGCCCAGCATGCCTAGATGTGCCCAGATGCCTTCTCCTTGAGGGGCAGCCCTGCGCTTTGTCCCTTGGCACACTGTCTCCCCTGCACGCAGCCTTGCAGGTGTCTGCGCTGCGAATCTAACTCTGTGACCACTTTCTTACTAACGTGCAAAATGTCCCCAGGGGAAAGGGGACCCGTGGAGCGAGCGAGGTCACGGCTGAAGGTCAGGGCTCCCTGGTTTTGCACTTGAGCTGGGGCTGGGGCTGGCGGCGGTCCCTGTCAGCGGGACCTGGGAATGGGCTGCTGGGCCTTCCCTCCCTCACCAGCACCTGCCAGCACAGTGGTCTGCCTTCCAGAGCCATTCAGCCTGTGGGCTAAATGCTTTCTGTAGCCTGATCCAGAGTTAAAAATAACTCAAAGGTCTGACCCACTAAGAGCCTCCTTGGATCTTCTAGGTAGGGTAAGATTTTCTTGGCAGCTCAGGTACATGCTTTAAAATGACGCCCCCCCCCCCGCCCCCCAGTTCACCTCACTTTCATCTAAACTGCCTGGAGCCTTTCCTCTCTTGGCCTGAGTTTGGAGCAGGCCTCTGGCTTTCTCCCTCCCTGTGGGGTTGGCCCAGTGCGGTGGGTCTCACCCCTCCCTTGGCTTCCTGGGCCTCGGGTAGAATTGCTAAGGTCACAGACAGATGTGCTTCTGCTAACAGACACTGGGCAGATGCCAGTCCCCATGAGTCCTCTTGGCTGAGTGCCCCTCCTCACCCCCAGCCCCGGCCAGCCTGCCAGAGGCCTTCAGCCAACGGCCACAGGGTGAGCTGAGGACAGCCACTTCTCCCTCCTGTCAGCCAGCAGGGACACTATCATCTCTGTCCCCTCGGCCTTCTTTCCACCCAAATCAAGGCCAGGTGGAAAGTTCCAACTGGTATTTCTTCAGGAGGTTGCCATTGGCAGGTAGCAGCAGCGAGGAAAACGGGCTTCCCTTCCTGCCCAGGGCAACAGACTTGTCCTCAGCTAAAGGGAAGCTGCAAGTTCCATTTGGAACTTGTCTCCAGGCAACAAATGATACCTGCAGCCTGGACTGAGACCAGGACAGCCAAGGGGAGGCTTGGCAGTGATCTGGACCCGGGTTCTAGGTGTTTCTAAAGCCCCATAATACATCTGCCCTTCCTATGGTCAGTGAGCTAAGACATTCCACCTTTAGCCATTTGAATTGGAGTTTTGCTAACTGCAACAGAAAAGGACCTGATAAGGACCTAATTGGCCTCCCTGTCTCCAGGCTTGCCAGCACCCAACTGAGATGGATCTTTCTAAGCTGCCAATCTAGACACCACCTTCCTGCGTAGAACTCTTCAATGACTCCCAGCCATTGAGGAGAATGCCCACTTTCTGCAGCCTGGTATTCCTTAGACTCTGGCATCGAAGCCAACCTCATCTCCTGCTGTTCCCATTTCTTCAGTTACATAAGCCCACTCCCTGGGGCCGGAGCCTTGCCGCACGTGCTCACAGCTCCAGGGCGCGCTCAGAATTCTGCTTCTGCAGGAGCACCATTTCTCACCCGATGGACTCCCACGAGTCTTCCAGGGTCCATCTCTGATGATGATGACGATGATGACTTTCTCAATACTCAAGCCCAAAATAGCTAAGTTTCTTTAGCTTCAATTTCAAAACACGTTATTAATTCATCACTCAAGAAATATTTGTGGGGCGCTCCTATGTGACAGGCACTGTACCAAGAGCTGGTGAATTCAAACGGCACAGACTTTGCCCTCCTAGAACTTAGGGTCTAGGTGAGGGTGGATGGGAGGTAGGCAGGAAGTATAGACAAATTAGACAAAGTGCTTTCAGGTCCAAGTAACAGAATAACTCATACAAAGTGGCATAAGCAGTGAGTGCTATGTTATGCAGCATAAGAAGTCAGAAGGTAGGCAGATTGAGAGTTGGTGAATTCAGTGGGTCAGTGATGTCTGGGACTGGGGATACGAGGTAGAATAAAGGACCTACCTCATAGGACTGCTGGAGGATTGAATGAGTTTATACATTTAAAGCAATAAATCAGTTCCAGGCACATAGTAAGTGTTCAGTGGCCATTAGTTGTTTATGAGCTCAAAGATGTATAAACAGCCCATCAATGAATGAATGGGTAAGCAAATTGTGGTCTATTCATACAGTGAAATATTATGGAGCCATAAAAGGAAATGAAGTACTAATACATGCTACAATCATGATAAATGTCAAAATTATAATGCTAAGTGAAGAAAGCCAGGTGCAGAAGGTCACACGGTGTATGATTTCTATTTATATGAAATATTTGGAATAAGTAAATCCATAGAGACAGAATGCAGATTGGTGGATGCCAGGGCCTCAAGAGAGGGAGAATGGGGAGTGACTGCTTAATGAGTAAGAGATTTCCTTTCAGGGCAATGAAAGTATTTCAGACCCAGATAGAGGCAGTGGTTATACAACATTGTGGGTGGGTGAAACACCACTGGACTATCCACTTTAACATGGTTAATTTTATGCCGTGTGAATCTCACCTCAGTAAAGAAAATACATCCATAAGGCTGTTCACTGAGACATAGTTTGAAGAAGCAAAACACTGGACACAATCTAATATCCACCAATGTTAAATAAATGAGGGTCTACCCTCACTATAACATATCACTTAGCCATTTAAAAGACTGAGCTAGAGCTCTATATACTAATTTGGAAAGATCTATAAGACATACAGTTACATGAAAAAAACAAGTCATAGAACATTTTAGTGTGATTCTATTTTTTTAAGCTTATTCATTTATTTTGAGAAAGAGAGAGGAACAGAGCATATGAGCAATGGAAGGGCAGAGAGAGGAGAAAGAATCCCAAGCAGGGTCTGCATTCAGTACAGAGTCTGACCCAGGGCTCGAACTCACAAACCATGAGATCGTGACCTGAGCCAAAACCAAGCCAAGAGCCAGACGCTTAACCCACTAAGCTACTCAGGCGTCCCAGTGTGATCTTATTTATTAATTATAAAATGATATGTAATGGGGCACCTGGGTGGCTCAGTCAGTTAAGCCTCTGACTTCAGCTCAGAAGCTTATAATCTCACGGTTTGTGAGTTCAAGACCCACGTCAGACTCTGTTCGGACAGCTCAGAGCTGCTTCAGATTCTGTGTCTCCTTCTCTCTCTGCACCTACCCCACTCATGCTGTCTCTCTCTCTCTCTCTCCCAAGAATAAATAACACTAAAAAAATTTTATAAAATGATATGTGTATGTGTATTAGTTTATACATTCATTCAAAGGGGCCTGGAAACCCACCTAACTGTTGAGAATGGTTACTTCAGGGGTGACAGAAGAGGTGAAAGGGATCTTGTACTTATTACCTTGTGTACTTAAGTATTATCTTGACTTTTATAATGAGAATCTTCCCAGGAAAGACAAATTAGTGTAAACACAAGACACCACTTTCTATGCACCAGATTGGCAAAACTGGAAAAAAAGTATAAGACCTTCTGCTGGAGAGACGTGGGGAGAGGGTGTTCTCATTCAGCGCTGGTGGAAATGGTAAGAACTATAGCTTCTTTGGGAACTAGTCTGATCCAGAAATCTCATTATTTTTGATCCAGTGATCTCATTATTTTTTTTTTATGTTTTTTTTTTTTTTTTTTATTTCTAGGAGAGAGGGAGAGAGAGAGCGCGAGCAGGGGAGGGTCAGAGAGAGAGGGAGTCACAGACTGAAACAGGCTCCAGGCTCTGAGCTGGCAGTCAGCACAGAGCCCGACGTGGGGCTCGAACCCATGAACCGCGAGATCATGACCTAAATGAAAGTCGGACGCTTAACCGACTAAGCCACCCAGGCACCCCGATCTCATTATTTTTTAAATAACGGCTTTCTTGAGCTGCAGTGTCCATCCTATGATCTGCCCACTTAAAGTATACAAGCCTGTGGTTTTTAGTATATTCAGAGTTGGAAACCATCAACACAATCAATTTTAGAACATTTTCGTTATGCCCCAAAAGAACCCCCAGAACTGCCTTGCGTTCATTAGCAACCAATCACATCTGGTCTCCCACCCACCCCTAGGCAACCACCAACCATCTTTGAATTTGTCTATTCTGAACATTTCATATCAATGGAGCCGTGTTTATAACTGGCTTCTCTCACATAGTACCATGTGTTCAAGGCTCAACCTTGTTGCAGGAATCTCATTCCTGGAAGTCTGTTCCACAGCAATAGAAGCACTTGTGCCTCAGGACATATGTACAAGGATGTTGATGGCAGAAACATTCACGACATTAAAAAGAAGAGAAAGAAAAAAGAAACCCTGGCGTGCCAGGGCTGCTCAGTGACAGGATGGGGGCCCGGGGCGTCACACAACGAAGAGGGAGTGCATGAACCCCAGGCCAGTTGAACTGAAGGGAATTCCCTGAACAAGAAACAGGAAGATACAGAAGAATGCACAAAACTTTCAAATCCAATTTTTGATATACAAACTCATCTTAAAATACTTTTTTAAAGTTTATTTATTTATTTTGAGAGAGAGAGAGAGAGAAAGGCAGAGAGAGGAGGAGAGAGAGAAATACAAGCAGGCTCTGTGTTGTCAGCACAGAGCTTGATGTAGGGCTCTATCTCATGAGTAGTGAGATCATGACCTGAGCCAAAATCAAGAGTCGGACATTCAACTGACCGACTAAGCCTTCCAGGTGCCCCAATATACAAACTCATTTTATTTATTTTAATTTTTTTAACGTTCATTTATTTTTGAAACAAAGAGAGCATGAGCAGGGGAGGGGCAGAGACAGAGGGAGACACAGAATCCCAAGCAGGCTCCAGGCTCTGAGCTGTCAGCAGAGAGCCTGACATGAGCCTTGAACCCACGAACCCCAAGATCATGACCCGAATTGAAGTTGCATGCTAACCAACTGAGCCACCCAGGCGCCCCTATACACACTCATTTCATGAACACTCCTCTGTACGTAGGCCTTATACCTGAGTCTGATAAGACCTGAATAGGATTTAAAGATGGCAGAGATGAAGCCCTTGAGTATTGCTCAGTCCTACTCACAAGCTCATGGAATCTAGAAAGTATATGAAAACAGCACAATGAGTCCATCGGAGAGAGGGGGGTTCTGGATTGCCTTCCGTTCCTCCTACAGAAGGCCCCAGCCAGGGGAGGAGGCTGCCCTGAACAGAGGCCTCCTGGGCTTTACTTTCCCCCCCTGTAAAGGCCTGGTCAGCATCTGGTTATGTCATGTCACCCAGCAATTCAGGTGCTCTGCGAACCCTGAGGGCCAAGCCCACCATCCTCAGCTCGTCCATACGGAGTGACTCCCCTTTGTGGGGCCCGAGGCTCCACATCTGTGTCTTCCCAACATCTGTGTCTGCATTTACAGGATCCAGGGCTTTACAATTCATGTCCACGTGGGGGCTTTCTGTGGACAGGCCTGGCCACAGCTTCACACAGTGTGTGTGCTGATGGGGAATGATATGGACAGACACACAGTTGGGGTTGCAATCAGGGGCTACAGGACTGAATAGGTAGGGGGTAGGGACCATGTGATGAAGGGAAGACCAGAGAGGGAAGGGGGAGCCGATAATAAAAGGAAAAGAAAAACAAAGAGGAACCACATACAATTGCATTTATGCATCTGGAGAAACTTTTGCATATGCTAAAGCATATATAAAGAAATTAAATTTAAAAATTAAAAAGACAAGGAGAATATACATGCTACTTGGGCGATTTAAAAAAGAATCAAAACAAAAAATGCCAGCTGCCTGACTACAAGAAGGACTTAATTCTTCCCTCCCTTCTTCCAGATCTTACCCCAGGGAAGGGCTTTGTGCAGAGGACTGTGAGCTCACAAGCTGCTGTTTGGCTCCATGCGTTCCCTTAACACAGCTTCCTAGAACACATTAGCTGCTTTCCTACAAAATTCTACCATGAATAATTGAAATTAAACATTCCCGGTCAAAAGAAATCAACACTGAATGATACAGTGCCCTGATTTTTCCTGTTTCTCACACCATTCTTAATCCACCAAACATGGAAATTTAAATTAAATCAAATTTCCCTGTCTTCTTGCTACATTAGCCAGGTTCCACTAAACTGACCATCAGGTGAAAGCAGCAAATGAACTACAATGAAATCCTGAGTCAGAGACCTAACTGACGTGTGTGTGTGTGTGTGTGTGTGTGTGTGTGTGTGTGTGTGTGAGAGAGGGAGAGAGAGAGAGAGAGAGAGAGAGGGAGAGAAAGGATTGTTCTGAGGCTTCTTGATTAGCTGACACAACTCTTGGAGGTGACAAATTATAGACTTCAATGAGTGGCTCAAAAACCTTCCATGAGTGGATAATACCATTGAGAACTCTGGATTTCCAACATTCTTCTCTGGCATTCTCACATGTTGACTTTCCATCCTAGATTTGTAACCTCATGGTCATGAGTGAATGCTGGCCTCCCAGGGTGCCTGGGTGGCTCAGTTGGTTAAGGGCCCAACTTTTGATTTCGGCTCAAGTCATGATATCACGGTTTGTGAGATAGAGCCCCACACGGAGTTGGCGCTGACAGCATGGAGCCTGCTTGGGATTCTCTCTCTCCCTTTCTCTCTGCCCCAACCCCTGTCATGCTCCCTCTCTGTCTCTCAAAAAAAAAAAAAGGTGGCTTCACCAAAGATCTGTCCACCTAGAACCTGTGACTATGACCTCATTTGGACCAAGAGTCTTTGCAGATATAATTAATCTCAAGATGAGATCATCTAATTTAGGATGGACCCTAAATCCAATGACAAGTGTCCTTAGAAGAGAACGGGAGGAGAAATACCAAAAAGGCGCTGTGAAGACAGAGGCCCAGAATGACAAATTCTCACTCAGAGGTTCTGGGAGAGACCAACCTTGCTGATGTCTTGACTTCAGAGTTCTGGCCTCCAAAATGACAAGAAAATAAATTTCTGTTGTTGTAAGTCACTGAGTTTGTGGTAATTTGTTACAGAACCTCTAGAAAACTAACACACTTATGGTCTCAATATGGCTGCTGGCTCACAAGCATCACGTTCTCACACCCTTTCATTCATAGTGGAAAGAAAGAAAGTTGGGACAAGAAGGAATTTCATTTTTCATTAGCAGAATTCTACTCCTCTTATTTCTTATTAAAAAATAAGAACATTTTGGAAAACAAGTATTTGTCAGAAAGAAGTAACAAGATTTTGAAAACGTGGGGGACAACATTGGAGGGTGAGGAGGGCATTTTTGTGGTCAACAATGGCTACCGGCATTTAACGAGTGGGAACCAGCTATCCTAAAAGCCTAGTGATGTGCTATCTGTTGAGACACACTAGGGATCAATTATGAGTTATCCCTGCAAGCTGGAACCTGGTTGCTCTGTGAACAAGAAACAGGATAGGAGGAGGGAGGGGACAGGAGAAGTGGCAGACGGGCAGGCAACTAACAATGCCGGTCACACATCGGAGTGACTCACTGTGATATAAGGCTATGGCACAAAACGGGCTGGGATGGTATCAGGTGTTCTTGGTTTCTGTTGGTGGGTGGCCAGATTCATTCGTTCATTCACCCATTCATTCACTGATCCAGTGAGCACAACTCAAATTGACTTAAGTCAAAAAAAAAAAAAAAAGGTTCAATTATTAGTACATATAACTAAAGTCCAGAAGAAAATTTGGGGAATCTGCAGGGGCTCCAGTGCTGTCATTAGGACCTGGTCTCTCTCTGCCTTTGTCCTTTGACTGCTTTCTCTGTGTTGATTTCATTTAAATAGGCTCCTCCCATTCAGAGATGAAATGGCCGCTGCCATTCCAGATTCACATTCCAGTCAATCAAGAAGATCCCGCCCTCTGCTCCAGGAAAGATTCTTTTCACAAGTATCCAGTAAACCTCCTGACACTAAGTGTCGTTGGGCCATCTGGACTAAGTGCTCATTCCTGTGCCATCTCTGTGCCTGAGGGTAGATTACACAGCCAGTTGGGGGTTGGATTGCAGGTGGCCCGTGTTGCAAGGGGGAGGGGACATTGCAAGTGGGTTTGTGGATTTAGCCACTCCAACCATATGCACTCAGAATGGAGAATCAGTGGTTTCCCAGGGAAAATCAGATTTTTTAAAAAATGTAAATGAATTCAGAGCAAGCAAATGTGACAAATGCCCGCTACACTCGCAGTTTGTGAAATGAATGTCATCATATATGAGCATGAGACAGGTGTGTATGGTTCAGTGCAAATTCATCATCACCCTTGATGGGAGGAGGGCAACTTAGAGTACAGGACGGGCCTTCTAAAGGGGGAGGGGGTCAGTAGCATCATCTAGATATATAGTAATAATTGAGTTCCATGAAGGGAAAGCTGAGGATGCTATAGGAAACCATACTGGCAAGTCACATTCAATAGGATTTGTAACACTTAACAATCTATAAGGTGTGATATTGGACATTAATCAGACCATCTGGTTTGATGTTTAGAGAGCATTCCAAACATCAAAAGTATCAAAAGGAGGCCCAAGTTCCCCTTCTGTTTAACTACGTCTGGCCATAGAAACTACACAGTTCATTTGTGGAGAATGAGGTGATCTGAGTGTTTGGGAAGATTTTCAAGGTGATGCTTTGGTTTCCACTCAGATAAGGAGATTAACCTATTGCTAAATAAGGCATTAACCTTACCAGATGAAGAGGAGGAAGAGGAAGGAGAAAAAGAAGTTGAAAGAAAGAAAGAAAGAAAGAAAGAAAGAAAGAAAGAAAGAAAGAAAGAAAGGAAGGAAGGAAGGAAGGAAGGAAGGAAGGAAGGAAGGAAGGAAGGAAGAAAAGAGAGAACGAGAAGTCCTATAAAAGTTGCTAGTAGCCACGTGGACCCGTGGGCACATCACCAAGCAACAGCGTTAACTAGCACGGTGATTCATGGTTTCAGAGTAAAAGCCAATTACTGAAATCATTTGGTCCCATCAATGGAAATGGTCTTCTCTGTATAGTTCTGTATTATGTGAACATCTCATACAAGATCCCAAACGTTGGCCTTTGAGTACAACCAGAGTGTGACAAACCTCGCTGAATTCTGTTAAGCCAGTCCAGGCGCTGGCAAAGAGGGCTCTTGTTCACAATGATGTGACTTGGATTCGTTCTGGGGTTGGATCCTCAGCAAAATTCTGTCTGGCTCTCAAAGATGAGCCATGTGAGACAGGTTAAGGAAGGTGGAGCACTCCAGCCTGACCTCCCAGAAATGGCATGGTGGGTGGAGCACTGGGTTCAGATCTGTGTTCTTGGGAGGGTAAAGTTGCAGAACTTCAAGTTCTCTGCCTCTGGTTGTCTCCTCAGTCATGCGATTCAGTGCCAGACACCTGCGTTTAGTTACTGCCTGTTTGGACAGTGAAAAATCAAGTGCATTTCTGACATTCTTTCTCCCTCTGTGATTCCCTTAAACGTAGGGATGTGTCATCTGTCTGGAAACGCTCACAGGGTTGCCAGGTGTCAATGCAGCACTTGCGTGGGCCAGGCGCCCAGGTAGTGGGGCAGCTGTGATACCACAAAGCACTTTGCAGAGTTTGGCATTCTCAGACGGTCATGGTTTTCTCTGCCTTTTACTACATACCGATTACTAAAAAGATATATAGATTGGGCATGAAAATGTTTTAGAAAATATCACAAATGAAAGTTATGTATAAATATACTCTTCTGCTTGAATTTCAAAATAACAATGGCAGTAACTAGCATATTCTGTTTCTGACACTCTGCTAAGCACTTTATATGCAATATCTCATGTAATCCTCACAATATCTCAGCGAGGTACCTACCTAGTATTTCCATTTTACAGACACAGAGAATGAGGCTAAAGAGGTCCAGTAACTTGCCCAAAGTCACACAGTAAGTGACAATACTGGGATTTGAACCCAGGAAGATTGACTTTTCACTACTTTCCATTCTAACCTTCACCATGTATAAGATCATACTTGGCATATTAGTCTTGATTAAGAATATATTCCTTTACAGGGGCACCTGGGTGGCTCAGTTGGTTCAGTGTCCAACTTTGACTCAGGTCATGATCTCATGGTTTGTGAGTTTGAGCCCTGCGTCAGGCTCTGTGCTGACAGCTCAGAGCCTAGGGCCTGCTTCAGATTCTGTGTCTCCCTCTTTCTCTGCCCCTCCCCTGCTCACGCTCTGTCTCTCTCAAAAATAAACATTAAAAAAATTAGAAAAAAAAGAATACATGACTTTACAATAAGATTGGGGTGACTTCATAATGGCTATTTCCGATAATCGAAGGAAATCCCTAATTTCCACATACTTCAGGTCTCAGGAACTTGGAAGACTGAGAACAGTGAGGGATTGGGCCAAACAGAACTCATCAGCCCAGCCCAGTGGCAGTGTGCCCCTAATACCAGGAGAAACTCTGATAGACAAGCTCATCCTAGGTTTCTGGCACTAAGGAGCATTCCAGACAGAGCAATGGGGGACGAAAAGGTGACAGGAGCATTAATTATCTCCAGGCTTAGCCAGTTGGGGGCTGTCAGACACCGTTTCCTATCTAGACTAGGGTCAAAAGTTCCCCTTCTAATAACAGCTGGGCCAGGCCAGCTCTGCCGCTTCAAAGCTTTATCAAAGCTCACAAAACATCTCTGGGGTGGCCGAGGCCCTCTCTGAGGGGTCAGCAAAGAGTCAAGAAGTGGCGCCTGTGTTTCTTTAAAACTTATTCAAATAAGGGCCCTCCCTGCCCACCACCTACCTAGCTGGGTTCAAAATTTGGTCCTTTCTGTGGGTGGAAGAACAGGCAGGATCGTTCACTGATCTTCCCGGAAGCGGTGGGCGGGCTGAACAACAAGGTGATTGACAGATGGGCCCCAGGACTCCGAGAAGGCACTGCATCCTGTCTGATACCAGGACCAGGACGCCCTGGGACAGGAATGAGGCTCTGTCTTTCCTGCCAGTAGAAACTCTGTCTTTGGTAATTACCAGTTGTTCTAGTAGTTAAAGAGAAAATGCTACTAGGAAAAAAATATGTACATTTTCCTGCAACAACGTAAGCTTTCTGTGAATGGAAGTTGTAGCCGGTCATCCAGGTCTCCAGGCTCACAGGAAGTATCCGTTTTCACTCCTGTCCTCATAATAACCCCTGAGGCTCCCAGGCCTGACATCCAGGTGACCTGTGCACATATAAACCTCACGGGTGCTCTGACAAGGAGCTGGCTTGGGCTGGTCACAGGAGAAGCTGTGTCCCAAGCTGTCCACCTTGCCAGCTTTACTTTTTCTTGGGAGGGAGGAGGTAAAATAGACGTACCGGAATTTACCATTTTAAGCACTTTCAAGGGTACAATTCTGTGATATTACATATGTTCACATTGTTGTGTATCCTTCGCCACCACCTGTCTCCAGAAGTTTCTCATTTTCTGAACTGAAAACTGTTCCCATCAAACAATAGCTCTCCAATTTCCCTGCCCCCATCCCCCTGTCCTGAACCTCTATTTTTTTTTTAAATGTTTATTTATTTATTTTATTTTATTTTTTGAAGGGCAAAGAGAGAGGGAAAGAGAGAATCCCAAGCAGGCTCCATGCTGTCAGCACAAATCCCAATGCGGGACTCAATCCCAGGAACCATGAGATCATGACCCAGGCTGAAATCAAGAGTCTGACGTTTACCAGACCAAGCCACCCAGGAGCCCCTGTTTAACTTTCCGCATCTACAAATTTAACTACCCTAGTTGCCTCATATTAGTGGAATCATGCAGTATTTATTCTTTGTGACTAGCTTATTTCATTTAACATAATGGATTCAAGGTTTATCCATTTTGTAGCATATGTCAGAATTTCCTCTTTTTTTGTGAGGCTACTATTCCATCGTATGGACATACCGGTTTTTATTTATCCATTCATCCATCCAAGGACATTTGGGTTGTTTCCACCTTTTGGCTATTGTTATAATGCTGCTATGAATGTGGGTGTACAAATATCTGTTCACATCCTACTTTAAAT